GCAAATAAATGGGCTGTGAGACCACAAAGCTTCAAATCCTGGTCGAAACATGAAAAATCAATTTCCTTTCTCCTCCCCGACACTTCAACACCCCGCAACCTCCTCCCGGCCTTTTGTTGAAGGGTGCCGACTGTGCCGCCGTTTCGCTGGGGGAACGCCGACAACATCTGCCGGAGCCACGGATTGATGAATTGGCCGATCGGATGCCCGCAGTGAAAACTGATGGATTGATCGGTCCGGAGGTTGGAGCCTTTGCCTTTGTGGCAAGCCCAGGGGAGCGCAACCTCTGGAGGTCCGCTGCTCATCTGTCATGTCCGACACGCGGGGAATGAGATACGAAAGGCTGAAGCGTCATTACAGAGACATGGCGGGGCATGTGGAAGGAGGTCTCGGCCCGAGAGTACGATAGCAAATCAAGAGTACAACGGGAATGAGGTGGAAAAGCGGGAACAGATAGATGTGGGGAGAAGAGATAACACAGCAGAGCAGTTCAGCGGAAATGTACCAAGGTTCACCAAGGTCAAAGAATCCCAATTTGGATCGCTACCAAAATCGAGCCACACCAGATTTTAATTGGGTACTTCTTGCTCCCGGGATAAAAAACGTGAAAGTCAAAACTACGGAGCAACGGGACACGGATAGAACAAAATGCGCAGAACCATCCAGAAAGTGTGTTTGCGTTGAGTCGGAGGGAAAATTCCTCCACAGAGCTTCGGCAGAGGACGCAGTGAAGGACCTGAAAGTGGAGGGACGTCTACCTGGCTTTGGACAACAAAGCCGACCCCCCACGGGGAGCAGAGTGAACGCCGGAGAGGAGAGGACAACCTCTGTCAGGTAGGAGGCGAGGAGAATGTCGACGAGTGGGGGGACAGCGGGGGCGGGGACATGAATGCGGGGCGACAGACAGTGTCAGGTGGGACGTAGGTGCCTTGCCTGTCTTGTTCATGAACCCCTGCAGCATGTGAATCCGAAACCGGCTCCATATGTTCGGAGCCTGGCGCGATCAGGATGCAGTGGGCATTTTTTTTTTTTTTTTGCAGTCTTTTCATGAATATTCATCGCATGGAGCAGCAGGTGGTCCTTGAGGTTTGATGGAGCCGGGCCAGGCGGGGCTCCCCAATCCACCCCAGCATCTGTCTATCAAGTCCGAGTCAACAGATTCGGGGTCACCTCTAACCTGTCTGCCGTTTCAATTCACCCCGTTACTTCCCCCGGACTAACTGCTTGTCGAGTCATTGCTGTACTTTATGTATTCCCCTTTGCCGCCTCTTCACGGTTTTTCGATTGGTTTTTGTTTCCTAATTAAAGTCTGTTTTCAAAATGGCTCCTTAAATCAATACCTTTTATTTTCCCGCTCTTTCCAGGCGCTTCTATTTATTCCCCGTCTTCTTTTTGCCGCCTCCCGCGCATAGATCACCCAGAATTTTCAGCGCCTTGCGGGCTCCTCCATCTTTGTTCTCACCGCCTCAAAGTCCCCCCCCACGACCGTTCAATCAAAATCCGCGCCGCAAGCGCCATTAGCGGCGCCAAGCATTCACTTCAGACTGATACAGCTCTCCGATTGTTAGGCAGTGAGCTGCTCATAAATGAAAGAGCCGGGTGGTGCCTAGAAAAGTTCAACCGTTCATTTTTTTTTTTTCTCAGGTGCTCACGACGCAGGACGTCACGAGGTGAGCTCGCTCCCATTTGCGGCTTTTGCGTCAGACAAACTTGTTGATCGCGTCAAACAACTTGACCGCTCGTGTCATCGGCTGTTGAGCTCTAACAGTTGTCCTGACGCTCCGCCCCATCCGCCCATTCATCCATCCGCCAATCAATCAATCGCGACCAATTCACAGCATCGGCAGTGCCCACTTGCCGTGCCAATTAGCGGACAGGGTGAGGGCCTGTTGCCGGAGGAGTGCCGGTAAACAGCTCGCCAATTAGGGCTTTACCTCCAATACAGGCACGGCGTGTGGGCACCATACCCCGGGCAGGGGTGAAGGCTGGCCCCGCTGACATGTAAGGAACGCTTGTGTGGACTCCCTCCAAGACAGAGCGTGGGAGAGAAAAAAAAAAAATGGACGTACAAAAGAAAACACAAAAGGCCCCCCCCCCCCCCCCCCCATCCTTAATGTTCCCATCATCTGTTATATGGAGAGGGGGAAAAAAAAAAGATTCTTCAGGATTTTTTTTTTTTTAATACCACCAAGGGACACCAATTCAAAACCCAGCAAGTCTCCTTTAATACCGAGGAAATTAAATTGTCAGCATGTTATCAGCCCGGTCCAGTCGTCTGTGTCTGAAATGCGACAGCCAGAAACACGACCATTTTTTGACCAAGGGTAAAATGGAACACTTGATTTGGGGAAACAAATTTTAAGCGGTTTGATTGCCGACAGAATAGAGATTTATCAGCCCCGTCAATTATTCCTCCTCAGTCAATTCTCTCTCTCCGATGTGAAAGCATTTGTCTATTTAACAGGATTCTGTTGTTCAAGCTCATCTCAAACGTAGCACGCGACGGTTTTTTTTGACGATGGCAAGCGTGACGAGTCGACATTTCGGGGGCACTAAAGCCATGTTTGGAGCACGGAATGATTGATGACTTTGGGTTTGATTGAAAATCCCGCCTTAAGGTTTGACCCTGCGTGTGACCGCTGATGGATTGGTCACTGGACCGGTTTGGCTCCGCAAGGGCCCGATTCGTTCCAAATCAAAACGGCAGTCCATGATGGAGGGTCCGTGACTTCATCAACACCGGACCGTAAAGAACAGAATACGTTTACGGCCCGTGCTAACGTACAGGTATAGCATGAGCCAGGATTTTGAAGCAGCGCCCGCTAGTATTGACCTCCTCAGCCTTGAGGTTGATTTGCGTGCCTGCCAATTAATGTCTGCGCTCGAGCGGCATAACACGTGCGAACCCTGATGCCGAACCTGCCGAAAGTGACAAGCCGCAGGCACCGCGTGCGCGCCTGTGACGTTTCAATGACGGGGAGGAGCGGGACTCGCTGGGATGAAAGGAGTCGGCTCGTCGGGGAGGGAGTGACAGAAAGGCCTGGAGGACGTGCGTGACGATCAAGCAAGATTGTTTTCCCTTTCCAGTTCCTCCATTTTTTTTTTTAGTTGTCTAACACGCATGGTACAAATCAGGCGCAACGGGGTCGTGACTCAACGGACTGAATTTAAATCCAAGGCGCCATTTGAACCCTCGCCTGCACGGCGACGCTGCAGCATGCCCAACAAGTGTAATTGGCTCGGGCCGGGCCTGCGGAGGTTACGGCGATGATAAGGTGAGCGTGGGGAGGCATATAACTGTTCACATCATGGCTCTGATTGTGTGTGAAGTCGAGGAGAGAATGCACGTGACTGCAGGGCGCGCCGTGACCTGTATCTTAATGAGTTTGGTGCTGAGGGAGGGTAATCAATAGCACAGTCAACAGCAACTACCGCCGATGACAAATGTTTCTGGAGAACAGGCTTCAGGTCAATTCGCATTCAATTAAAAAAAAAAAAAAAAAAAACACGAAAAATACAGTCGCGCGGGCGATAAAAACACCTGATTAAATATTGAACCACCTTAAAAAGAAACGAGATTTACACGTCCTCTACGGGTGACCCCCATCGAGAGCCTGGGAAAGCAAAAGGCCGAATGCGCATCTGACAAATGACAAGGAATCAAAAACAGGCCACCCAAAAATGAACGTGTAACACGATTCGGCGGAAAGATGAAGAGGCGCAGATAGGGAATGTTAGGTTACACCGTCGAGATATTTACTTACTGTGAGCTACAGTCTCCAGTTCGTGTTCTGCCCCTCCAGCTAATGCAAGCTAGCGCGTGAGAGAGAGAGCTGAGGATCAATGAACTCTCGCTCGGAGTGATGCTCACACGCCAACGGACCTGACATTTGCCAGCGAGCCATAACCCGTCGATTTCCGCACGCCAGATTCACCTCGGTGGGCCGGGAACGGCGTGTGGAGGACCTCGCCTCGCCAAAAAGTTCACAAAAGTCTGTGCGATGCGCGGACTCACATAGAGCTGGGCGCGGCGCTTCTCTTCCTCGGCGGCGATGCGTTCCCGGATGGCGGCCTGCTGGATGCCGTCTTCGGCCGCGGCGCGTTCGGCGGAAAGAATGCGGGACACCTCGTCCTCCGCGTGACGCTTGGCCTCGGCCCGAGCTTGGGCCGAGGCGCGGGACTTCTCGGCCTCGAGCCTGTGGACGATTGACGACACATTAGAGGGTTTCCGAATCATTTGCACTCGCGGGCAATTGTCAATATTGAACGACAGGGAAAGCGCGGCTACTTCCAAAGCGGCGATAAACTCCGTGCAGACGCGAGACCACCATTTGAACCCCCCCGTTACTGAGCTCTCTTAGTTACCTAGCAACGCGCTCCCTGTGCAGTGACAGTGCGCTTGATTAGAAAACAGGAGGAACGTCCCTGAAAACCCCGAGCAGCCTCCGCTGCTCAGAATCAAGCGGCGAGGTAAAATAAACACAGAACAAACAAAAGCAAGCGCCGGGGCGAATTATGACAGACTGAAAAGAAAACTCGGCGAGGATCCCAATAAAACCTCAAGTCAAATCCTGAGAGACTGCAGACAGAAACGTTAGAGGCAGGTGAATATTGACTGCTTGAAAAATAGCTCAGTGACAATTTCCACGCCACAGCTCACAATTTCCATTCTCGGGAGGACATTTTTTTTCCTGAGTTCTTATGACTTGGCCCATTTCTACCTCGACAGTTTGCAGTTAGCTAGCTCGCGATGCCTCCACCTTGAAAGCGAAAGCAGTGAATAGTGGTGACTTGGCACGTTTGGCCCTGGAGGAAGCCGGGCAAAGACGGAGTGAGGAGTTGGAGAGGGAAGGATGGAGGGAGGCCAGCCATGTCCACTCCTACAGTCCACTGGGCCGTGCACGTCAGCACACTCCATCCATCATACGGACTCCCACTCACTGGTAAACACCAACACGCACACACACTCGCGCGCACGCACAAACACACGGGACAGTTGCTAATAGCCTTTTACATTCACCATTTCCCCACAACCCGCACCTCAAAGTTGGACATACTCGGAAAAGTTGATGTGTAACAAAAAAATTGGAGGCAAATGGAGTCAAAGTGTCATGCGCCCCCTGCACCCATTGATAAATGTTCAGTCTAAATAGACCAAAGGAATAAATACTGTGGGATAAAGAAAGCTCGGCAAAAGAAAAGTGTATTTCCTCAGACTTGCTCACAAGTGCAAAGGCAAGCAAAGACCGCTATCACGAGCTGGATGCTATCTGTCTGCCTCGCCTCTATTGCTTTCCAGCCATTATTGCACTCTCCCGGGGATATTGGACACATTTTTCATTTGGCTGTAAAGGATTGACACCAGGCGGGGAAGAGAGTGCTGAGAAAGACGATGCTTCATTCCAAAAAAGAAAAAAAAGGGGGGCGGAAAAAAAAAAACTAAACATCCTCTGCGTAATGGAATGATTTTGGAGGACATGGATGATGTTTGCCCTTGGACTGGAAGTGTGCAAAATGAAGTGGTGACACTTTATTTTCCACGGCTATCCAGGAAGTCAATCGGGAACGCGTGTTCCAAGTGAACAGCTTGGTTGGCGCGGTGCGTTCTGACGGGCCGAATGCATGCTGAGTTATGGATGTAAGCACTCAAGAGGGGGCACCACCTAACAGGAAGTCATGCAGTATGGTGACGCTTCCATGGCGCCGGTGCTCAGGGAACTGTGGTTGGTAAGACAGTTGGCACCGAATTAGATTTCTAGTTTGGCATCCAAGCTCCGGTTGTCAAGCGCCGATGATGGAATACTTCAACGCTCATTGTTGTCACAGACAAAGGAACAATGTCCAAGGGTTAAAGTACAGGTGTTGTGTTTTGGAATTGTCTCCAAGGGAGTTGGATAGAAAACAAGGAGGCCAAGGACTGTTTAGAGGAGCGGGCCATCCAACTGACAGTTTTTTCACTTTCAAGTAAGCTACAACTCTCGAACCCTCAATCACTCTCACTGGATTTTGGCCTGTTTAACTGCCGCTTCCCCTCAGTCAAGTAGATGTTGATTTTGGTCGACTGTGAGCCCGTTAAAACATTTTGAGACTCTTTTGTGATGAAAGGCTCTGCCTGACTTGACTTCCTGGTTCGGCGCTTGGAAGTGGAAAGGGAATGGAAAGCTTTTCAGTCTCTACCATTCAAAAATGAGACGGGATGAAACGCAATCGTGCCTCAAATCATATTTACCCTCACCCAAATTGAATTGGCTCCTCTTCTCAATTCCCTACAAACTACTTCATGTCATCCTGCTAAACAACAAACCACACTTCTTGCCTTTGAATTGTCACTCTCTACTTTTCAACGTAGGCCTCCTGTCCTCCCAAACATGGATGCTTCCAGTCATCTACCGGTATTGCACATTAGACTTATCTCGACACAGTGCACCAGGGAGGATGGAGTCCGGCGTAAGCACCCTGAAACAAAGGCATTCCGGGGCTCTATGCAATATTGATGCTGAGAATAATGTCGCTGAATGCTGGCCATGAATATTTGATAGCCCCGACGCGCTCTCTCCAACACGCTGGCACATAAACATGGCACACCTGACTCTGAGAGGGAGTTAAAAATTAAGCGTGGAAAATGAATGAACTGAGCAGATTGATTTTGAAACGTTGCAACGTCCAAGCTGTTTTGCATTCTCCCCGCATCTGTAAAACGCAAACCGCAATGGTCTTACAAAGTACGACTGTGGCTAATCAGAAGCATACGGTCAGCTTATCTGGCCTGCTTGAATATGCAAAGTGGTGTGTAAACCTCACAAGAGGCAAAAAGTATCACGGCAAAAAATGTAATCAAGCGAGTGGGTCTGGTTGCTTCGTTTGAAAACTCATTTACCGTATTTTCCGCACTATAAGGCGTGCCTAAAAGCATCGAATTTTCTCAAAAGCCGACAGTGTGCCTTATCGTTTGATACGCCTTATGTATGGATCAATATTCTGATTTCTTGGATGTAGTATTTTAAATGATCTGTAACGCGCTTTGTTACAGCCGCAGCGGTTGTGAAAGCGCGATATAAATAAAGCTGCATTGTGTTGTAGTCTCTTTAGTGGAGCTCTATCTAGTGGATGCATAATGCAACCGCAGCCGCAATTGTATTCGCCTTATAATGTGGCGCACCCTACAGATAAAAACAGTTTTAAAATAGGCAATTCATTGACGGTGCGCCTTATGCTCAGCGATAGCGGTTCTGTCCGTCTCAACCTATTTCTTTGCAGGCGTTCTGCTGCGATGCGTCGCAGGCAAAGCTGCACAGAAAAAAATTAAGACTAAGGATTTTGGCCTGTTTAACTTCCGCTTCCCCTGACTCAAGTAGATGTTAATTTTTGTCAACTGCGAGCCATTGAAAAACCTTTTAGCTCAGCCTCTCAACTTTTAGTCTGATGTCAAATTGGTTCCTTCATTTGAACCGGCATCACCCAAAATGTTCATCCCTCAACTGAACCATGTCCTTCAAACCAAAATCCATCCTGAGCCATGGTTTTTGGCATTCGCTTACATCCCCAATGCTAGAGTGCTGAAAACAGTTTGCAGCCTTACTGGCTTAAAGTCAACTGACAGACTAAAAAAACACACACACAAAAACACACACACAAAAACACACACACAAAAACACACACACACACACACACACACACACAAGTGCAGCTGATGATTGCTTGTTTATGGCTGCATTTTCCACTTCCCTCACCCGAGAAATGAGGGTCTGAAAGCCGCCATGATGTCCATTAATTGCAAGGAGGGAGCAATTGTGAGCCACTTACTCCTTTGAACGGATGTCAATAAATGAGCTGCAGGAAGCAGTTACGGGTAAAATAAAAAAAAATAAAAAAAATTAAAAAAAAAACTGCAAACCAAACCCCCCACCCCCCCAAAAAAAAATACATCCATTTGCCCGAGTCATTTTCCTCTTGAAGGAGTCTATAAGATGGACTTTTAATCAATAATCCAGCACTGCCTCCTGAATCAAGAGAGCTTGTGTTTTTGTGTGTTTAGCCACTAATCACAGGAGTCCATTCACCAGGGTCCACTGGACGGTGTCCAGGTCTATTAAAGTGGGGGGCTCTAGCGAGGATGCGGGTGGGGAGATGGGGGGGCTGCCATTATCGAGCACCATGGCCACACCGCAGAGCAACTGCTTGTTCTTTTACCTCGTGCTGAATACGTTCTGCGCCTCTCCGTCTTTAGCAGGGCTAATGGATCGCCCGACTCTGCGTCCAGGAAATTACCTCAGGTTTAGCCCCCTCCTTTCGCAGGCGTGATTAATTGATCCGGAGAAGACGACGAGAAGAAAAGTGCTGATGCGCTTCAGAAATGGGGGAGCAGATTGGAAACACGGCGGGGATGGGGGAAAGAGACGGGACGCCGATCGCTACAACTATGAATCAAAGTGGCTAAATTGTGGAAAATGTCCCAATGAAAACGTCCAACAGGTGCGGATTGACACAAGTGCAGAACGGTGTCACGATCCAGTCGCACAGAAGGTGTTCTTAATTTTTGGGTGAACAACCACAGCGCCACACCGGCACGATTTATTTTATTTTATTTTAGCTTTTATTTTGTGCAACCCCCTCACGATATAAAATGGAATAAAGTCAACACATCGCATCCCCCCCCCCCCCAGAGTATCGGATCCACTCAATTTAAGTGCGCCGAATGCTGTGTATACTTTTTGCTTCTCACCAAGCCTGCAGGTCTTGCTTTGTCTTGACCCTCTGCTTCTCCAAGCCTTCGTAGAGCTCAGCACTGATCCTTTTCCTCAGGGCTTCTTCATCAACTGAGCAGCAGAGAGAGACAAAAAAAAAAAAAAAAAAAAAAAAAAGTTTGGAGCATGAGCGATAACACTCATGTGTTAAAGGACACGGCGCAAAGACTTCACAAATGAAATGAGCGCCTCGATGCAGGAACGGGCAGATTCTGCGTCCACATCCTTTGCAACCTTATCTGGCTATATTTGTGTCAGGGACATCACACGTGGACGCCTCTGGTGTCCTCGCCGCTCTATCTTGGCAGGTAATTAAGCGTGAAAGTAAAGATGGCAGCCAGCGACCAGGCCAAAACGTGCTCGGAACACACAAGTGCCACATGGTGCCCTGTGTGTGTGTGAGTGGAGATTACACTCACACTGCATTAGTTAAATGGGATAATCCCTATTGTCAGAGGCTATTATTACCTGGTAAAATGTAATAACAGTGGGACAGTCACGAGACACACACTGGCACACTTGCATAAAGGCAATTTCCTTCTTGATGGAAAACGTTAATATGGGATTTAAAAAAAAAAATGACAGTTAGAAGTAAATTAGATCACAATAGAAACGTGGCAGAAATCCATGGACAATTCGGGGTCTGATATGGATTTTTTTTTTTTTTTTTTGGGGGTGCGGGGTGACAAACTGTGACTTTTGGTCACGTGGAATAGATTAACAACCCGGTCGATCCCATCCCCAACTTTGCACCACCTTCATATAAAAAGCCCCGCGCACCTTCGCCAGCGATTTTAACACCCGCCGCAACCCCTTCACCGAGCTTCATCATTCAACTTACCGGCTCAGGCGCGACAAAGCGTCTGCGCTAAACTTTCTCCGGCGCCGCTAACGGGAGCAGAAAATATGATCCGCTCGCTACGATCGTGCCTCAGCCGTTGCGTTTGACAGCAGCGGGAAGCATCATTGATCAACAACATTACAACTCTATCAGGATCAGCCACGCACCATTTACAGGGTAAATGTTAGAAGTGGGACTCTCCCGGCGACGTGGGGTCCAGAAGCAAAAATGCAAAATAAATAACTAGCTAAATAAATAATCACAATGTCCTATCTCTATTTTTTTCGCACAGTATATTTGTGAGGCTCGCACTACTACTTTCTGGAAACGTGGCGATTTGGCTGTGCAACCTAAAGAGAAAAGTAACATTTGAAAAGTCCTTGGAGTTCAGGTGAACGGGAAAAAGTCGCCCACTTATCGCCGTATCCTTTCCTCCCAATAGCTGGCGGGCTCCCACGGGGGGAGTCAGTAAGCTCCTGATATGATAAACACTCTTGGAAGGGGGTCGCCGCTTTGGGCGAGACGCCACCCGGCTTCCGCGGAACCCCATGTCAATCCCGGAATAACGCATGTAAATGAAAAATTCATCATCATCGCTCACCGCCAATCACAGAGCCCCGTGGAAAAGTTGCCGTGAGAAGGAGGAAAGGGAAAAAAAAAAAAAAAAGTTGGCCGACTATTGCGGGTGGAGATAATAGACGGTGGCAAATTGCGTTTCTCATCAGGGCTTTGATTAACCCCGGGACCCGCGTGGAAGGCCTAATCTGTAACATTAACACTTTGTCACGATTTCTCGGTGGAGTCGCCGCGCGCTTTTCTCCACGCTCGAATCAGAGAAAGAATTGTTTTAAATCTGCAGCCTGGAGCATCCAGGTACCATTTAAGGTCAAGCTCCATTTATCTATTTTTACCTCTTAAATCTATTGTTATTGGGGGTCTGGCTCTCAATTTTTATTCTCGATGGGCGGCACCTCACTGCATTTTTTTTTTAACTCCATCCCACAAAGTGTCCACCTTTTATGAAAATTGTTGCGCTGTGAAATGAACATGGCCTCCTCACACCCCCCACCCCTTCCGTCGCCATAAACGCACTCGACGCGTTTCAAAAACACAAGCCCGCTATTGTTGCATTCGGCGTTAAATCTGAAAAGCAATTAGCGCAAACAATGGTGGGATGCTTTAACCGGATCGCCGCCGGGAAAAGCGTCGAAAGAAGCTTTTGTGGGACGCAAGCGAGTGAATTCAATTGTCAATTGTCAAACAAATTTTCACGATGACGCGCTCGACAAACGGCCGAGTGGCGCGGATGAAATTTGGTGTCAAAGAAGGGCAAAACTCTAATGTACTGCGCGGGCACATTTACCTTCACCGCAGCGTGCTTGGCTTATTGTGCCAAACTGCAGAGGTGTCGTTTTAATCACCGGAGTCACTGTGGCGTGGCACGAGTTGGCCTTTTTTTTAATTAGCCCGCTGATTGAGCGCCGGAAAGGACGGGGGATGCCTGCCTGCCCACGGCCCGGACGCCCGTCCTTCTCTCTCTTTGCCCACACCGCACCCACACGCCTGTCTGTGCGTGCGTAATGAGCAACGTTCAAATGTCCTCGGCCTAACCGGTCAAGAAAGGAAAATGAGCACCCGGTTTTACTTTTTGGGGGAGATGTTACTACAGCAGTCCGATGACACCTTGTTAGGCTCATTATTTGACATGTTCTGTCAACGCGTGCAGGTAACGACAGCAAAAAACGGACGCCGCCATCAGCGGTAATGAGCGACTAATTTATTAGCATGGCGAGGGCAACGGAATTTATCATTTTATTAGCAATCAGAGGCGGACAATGAATCACACGAATGAAGACTAATTACCAAGTTGAAGACAAAAAGCGTGAGGTGGCTTAAAGTAAACACCCACACAATAAACATGATTAAAATTCAAAATGTGGCCGCACATAAAATTAATCCCCGGACACTTCATCCTCGTAGAACCTCTAATTAACTTTGACGAGGAGGCACGCCGTCCCCCGTATAACTCATAATGAAATGAGTCATTAGCGAGAATGATTCTACTTTTATAATGCGTGTATTAACTTTTCCAGTTTGTCTGCCCACCGTCGAGGGAAAATACAACAAGGCTTTATCCGTGTACAGTCACTTAAAAAGTGACATCAATTTTTTTTTGTTTGTTTTGTTTTAATTGACATTGTGTTACATGCACTCTTTTGACACTTACTTGCTGGTGCAACAGGAGGAGGTGGTGATGGGGGTACTGGATTGATAGGAGGAGAAGATTCTGACTGCACCACCTGTTGAGGAGGAGGAGGAGGAGGAGGGGGAGGAGGAGTGGTCACTTGAGACTGTGCAGAAGGTGTTGGCAGGGCAGGCTCAGATGCAGGAAGGGAGGAGAGGAGGTACGAATCAGGCGGCAGGAAGGCGGGAGAGGCGAGGGATTCGCTTAGCGGAGTTAGAGCATCCACTGCGGCAGGGAAAGGAGCGGGAACGGGGGGATCGGAAGGAGAAGGGAAGGGTGTAGTTACCGGCTCAACAGCGGGAGGAGGAGCAGGAGCAGAGGTTGGCTCAAAAGCAGGAGGCACAATTGCGGGTAAGGAGGAGGAAGGCAGCACCACGTCAATGACGGTGGGTGCTTCTACCTGCTCGGGTTGAGGAGGAGGAGGTGGAGCAGGAGGTGCTATGTTGTCCTTGGGAGGTGGAACTGGTGGAGGAGGAAAGGAGGGAATGGGATCAAATGGTGGAGGAGTAACAGGTTGTGGATGAGGGGCCATAGAAGGTCCCCGCATTCGATTGATGACGTTCTCCGAGAGCTGCAAAGAAACATTCAAAACAATGATCAAACCTTTTTTTTTTAATCAAGGAAACAGACTCAATCGTCTTATTTCAGGAAGCACACCAATGACATGAATGGGATTACGACTTAATAAGTGACTCCTGCCAACTCCTCAAAGCTTACCTAATTGACTTAAAGCGGCTCCGTCTAAATCTAACCGCACACACGCTCACTTTTGAAGCCTCTGTTTTAATTGAGCAACTTGTTTGGCAAAATTCGTGTTTGCATGGTTAGTGCAAAAGTACACTACAAAATTACAGATACCTCTCTTTTCTATAACAATTTTGGAACACTATACTTGACTTCACGATGCTTTGCGTCATTCATTCATTCATTCATTCAAGCAGTGGTTACGTGCACGTGGCCTCTGACGTCAACGTTGCAATGACATTTCTACATTGCTACGCAAAAAAAAAAAAACTTGCCCTGCAACTTACTTTAACAAATATTCACGAATGAAAAGACGAAACTTAATGTTTACACGCTTGTTTTAAGAAACATAATGCAGTTGATTGCATTTAAGGATATGCTTGTTTAAAAAAATAGTGACCTCAAGCAAGAACAGAAAAAAGATAGAGAATACAGCATAGGATTGCAATAACATTAAACTAACACTAATGCAATATTTTATTGACATTTTGTGTCGCAGTGCAACATGTAAGTGTGTTGTCAACTCACCCTGATGCCCTTCACAACTGTCACATTCTCGTTCTCGTCCGACTCAAATGACACGCGGCGGGTACTGTTGTTGGCTCCCATTGTCACACCGCAGGCCTAAAAATCGATTAAATATCTACATGTATTAATAAACACTAATGTCGAGTAGAGCTTTAGCAGAGTTTAGGAGCGTTCAGAGTTACCCGAGGCCCACACGCTGTTGTTCCGGCTTCTCCGGGTCGACGTAGAAAAGAAAATAAGATGTGATTCGTTCAGCTCGCAGCATTGAGAATTTCTATTGGTTGTTTTTGTCAGGAATTGGCGGAAGTCTTAAAAAAAACAGGACCTCATTGGAAGAGATGATACTGTACTGTCTTGCATTTTTTTTCAATTGGTTTTGATTTTTAAAATCCATATTTTTAATCATCACATATTTATATGTTAAAATTGTTGTATTTAGTTATTTTGCCCCATATACAGTCAATTGCGAGGAATTATGCAATAAAACAAATAACTTTACAATGCATTTACTCAAGATGAAGTACATTGCCCATTAGTTTTATTATATCGGATAAACTGAACACATATGGTGAATAACGAGAGTTTTACGAGCTGACAACGTGATAAAATCAATTCAAAAAATACATATTGCAGGCAAGTGTGAGGTAATTATGGAACAGGGTAGACAGAAGGTGAGGAGGAGGAAGAAGCGGGCGTAGTATTGCCACAGATGACCTATTGTAATTCATACCCAACACAACATATTGCTTGTGGCTTGGGAAAAATGCCCAGACTGCTGTCAGCTTCACTTTCCACCAAGGAGCATATCTTTGTCCAGTCAGCGCACAGGCACATCTGTTGTTTACATTGTATTATGACTCATTTCGGTGGTTTATTTCTTTTTCTTTGTCTACCAGCAACACCCCCCAAAAAATAATGCTGAGAAAATATATAAAAACGTACACTCCTCCTTCTAAAATCATTTAAAAATATATCTTGAGTATAATCATCGGTGGCATTTTTACAATTTGATTGTGTTAGGTACAATAATTCCAGTTCCAAAATGAAAAATTACAGCTTTTGTTTGTTCCAGAAAGTCAGGCTGCCTTGCAAGATCTCAAAGTATAGCACAAAATTTGATTTTACTTGAGCACAAAGGCTATCATTATGGATGACAGCTCATAACTCTTGCTGTCTAAACTCAATACATTATGAACAAAGAATTGTTTCTTGAAGTTTTGATGCTACACATACATAACGTGGATCAAAAATACATTTCCAAGTATTTGTGATTGTTTTCCCACCATGTACTGTATGTAATTTGCTTTATATTGTGTTTGTACTGCTCCTTTGCAGCAATTTTCACTTTTAGATTATTAATTTTTTTTTTTTTGTCTCTCGCTTCATATTTGCATGATTAAATCAGTAAAAGGCAGGAACACATTGAGCTCCATATGTCATACTTTTTGTCATAAGATTTTGACATTACATTTGAAAAGCAAATTTTCCCTCTGTATTATTTCCCCATGTGTCATTTGTCTTTGTTGTACAAACAGGCTCACCTTAATTGTGCTTGCCATTTTTCTGTTTGTCTTTTATTAATGAAAAATTGGTTTCTTGTGCATGGCAGTCAAAGCGCATTCCCCAGGGAGAAACACTCGTCTCTGAATCTATTATGATCACAGATTACATAATGAGTAACTGGAATATGCATCGATGCCCCAAGGCACTCCTCGAAAAGCCTGAGGCTGTTCTGAATGAAAAGCTTATATAATAGATACATGACTGAATTATAGCCTAATAAATGTTGTGTATGTCGAACAAAGGTTTTTTTGGTCATCTCTTATTCAATATTTATGTTGAAGCAGACATTTTTCCAGGCAAAAAAAGCACATTATTTGTGTCCCAACACACATCAACCTGAACAGCATGACCTTGGCCCGCTGTGATTGGGGACGAGAAGGCCAGAAGATTAGGCGGACTGATAGACAGACGGCTTTGGCGATAACAACTTCAAAATTAAACCTGGACCAGAAGAACTAGACTCCCTTCTTTTTCAAAAGAAAAGCGTGACCGTCTTCTCCCTTTTTTTTTTTCCTGGCTCGGTGAGAAGAGACATAAAGATGGGCGACAATGTTATCTCGTCATTCCACCGGCACATCAATCACAGTCTAGACTAGTAAGAATCGACCACCTCCACCCCCATAATCAATGTCCTCTACCATTGCCACCGGTACAGCAAAGATTGTCAGAGATAAAACCAAGCAAAGCCCTGCCAAATCTAACACTGTGGATGCTCTAAATGAAAGAGGCTATTAACGAACTGACAAACACTTGCTTTTCTGCTGCCCTCCCCCTTTTTTTCTTTTTTTTTTCTCGTGAGGGAGATATGGATCTAACTTTCCAATAAAGGAGGTTCTTTGCTGTGATCTGTAGATTCCTGCGAAAATCAATATTGCATTAAAATACATCTCTGGATACAGGATTTAACATGAGGCACAACAAATCTCATCCTTTAAAACGTGAACTGAAAATTTGAAATATTTTTTACATTTATTTATTACTTATTGTTATTATTTTTGTATTTATTTCAAGTAAAACTATTTTTTTTTCTTGCGTTTCACATGTTATACACTGTACTTTTTCAAACCGCGCAGCGACAAAACTACAGTGTGCATTTGAACTTCAACTCCCACAATCCCTCAGTGTTGATGCGCTTCCGGTTTCCGACTTGGTTGCCATTGCAGCTGGAAAAGATGTCTGCGGACACAGGACGATACAGGGGAGCTGTCAACAAAAACAAAGACCCCTCCGGTCTTCTAATCTCCGTCATAAGGTATTGTTTGTCACATATGTTTATTTTGTGAAAAGTTGAGAGAACGCACTCGGAGTCTACTCACGCTAACGGAAGAGCCGCTATCTTCTGCTGAGGCTCTCTTAGTTAGCATTGTCTTCCTGTTTGGCTCAGATAGAGTTCTACTTCATGTCAAAGCTGTTCCATTGGCAATATTTCTTTTCGGAGGAATAAAGTTTGTCTTACGTCGGGTCCCTTCTCCGTCAATATACACATTTGACCCATTTTTTTCGTCTTTGACATCTGTTAAATCCCGTTACTATCGATCTATCTATATGCAAGGTTTGTTTGGGGTCAGATTGTGTTTGAGACATGAAGTAACAAAGTGTTATCATCATATTTGAATGTGTGGAATATCACATTAAATCCGTCTCTCCATCTAGGACTTTGTCCAGCAGCGATGACGTCCAGGACAGGGAGACAGAGAAGGGTCGTCTCGAGGAGGCATTTGAGACGTGCGACCGCGAACTGGACCAGCTCATCGTCCAGCACTACGCCGAGCTCACCACCGCCATCCGGACCTACCAGAGCATCACCGAGCGCATCACCACCTCTCGCAACAAGATCAAGCAGGTAGGGAATACGAAGGATGTCATATGGACTTTCACTACGCTCCTGACATTGCTGTCTCATGTGTAGGTGAAGGAGAACCTCCTGTCTTGCAAGATGCTGCTGCACTGTAAGCGGGACGAGCTGAGGAAGCTTTGGATCGAGGGTATCGAGCACAAGCATGTTCTGCAGCTCTTGGATGAGATTGAGAGCATCAAGCAGGTGCCTCAACGCCTCGAGGCTTACATGGCCACTAAGCACTACCTCCGCGCCACGGATATGCTGGTGAGTGGAGGAGAATTTTGTGGCTTTCAATAGCATTTCACCAAGTGGATCATAAGCTTCTGTGAATCACTGGAAAAAAAAAATCTGGTTTATTGAGCGCAAGCACAAATTGCTTGAATATAAAAATAGCACCTTATTGCATGCCGCATTTCTGTAAATATTTTTTGGTTGGGTGTTTCGATGTTGTTTTTTTACCAACTGGAAGCTCTAGGGACATTTGTACGCATGTAAACATGTTTTTTTTTCACCCCATGCCTTAAAAGTTTATCCTCTGCATCCTCTCATGATGCCAAAGGACCATTTTGTTGCCTTTCAGTCTTTCAGTTTGTGCTGTTCAGGTGCGCCCGCCTTCATTCGATGCGCATTTTGACACACTTGATTGTGATGTCTCTTTCCCTCTGTCGCTCTCCCACACATCCTCTCCTCCGACTTTGGAAATAATTAGTCTAGCGAATAGCGATATCTGCAGGAAAGGGGGCAGGTGGGGGGGGGGAAGAGAAGTAGGATGGCGGCGGGCACAAAAGGAGCATGAAAATCCTCTCCAGCGAGGGCGGAACGAAGCGGAACTTCTTTCCAACCCGCTCTCGCCCGGCCGCTTTGACGCGTTTTCGAAAAGGAGTCGAGTGTTCAAAGTCAGTCGGGACTTTGATTTCATTGATCTGGGCTGTAAGAAATGGTTGGCACCTTTTTTTTTTTTTTTGGAAGACTTCTCCTAATTCCAAATATTCATGAGTCACAGATATAATTTCCCTCCTCGGTCTTACCTCGAAAGAGGTGGATTAGCTGCAAATAACATGGCGTGTATGTTTGAGCGAGGCTTATCTATCTCCAAGGGTTGACAATTAGAATTCAGACTGTGCACTCTCCTCGACGGAACGGCAGTCCTAAGCCTCCTGGTGTTTGGTGAAAAACCTCTCCCTCCTGAATTTCTCTTGATGTCTAAAAATGGTCCATTTCACCCCCCCCCCCCACCAACTGATACTATCCCCATTTCGTTCAGGTGTCGGCAGTGGAGTCGCTGGAGGGCCCCCTGCTGCAGGTGGAGGGCCTGGGTGACCTGCGCCTGGAGCTCCACAGCAAGAAGCTCAACATCCACCTGGTGCTCATCGACGAGCTCCACCGTCACCTCTACATCAAATCCACCAGTCGCCTGGGACACAAGAACAAGGACAAGAATGTGGTGCGCCTTCCGGGGTAAGAGTCGAAAATGCTTCATTAGTAGTTTCGTCCCGCTTTAATCTGTTCATTTTGTGCTGTTTGGATGCTTCAGAGATCCATTAGTAGACCAGACAGTGTTTGTCCAATTGTTGTGTGTGCACTTGTGTGTACAGAGAAATACATCTTCCTTCCCACATCTCGTTTTCTTAGGCTGGTGTTAAAACCCTTTTGTATTTTCATTTTTTTTCTTTGTGCTCACTGTGTCAAAAAGTAGCCTTCAAAGTGGCGCCTTCATTATAAGTTCAAACGAGTGCCAGTTGCCAATTATTTCCTGAATGGACACCAGCCCAATTATGGACCCACAAAAAAAAGTCTTTCTCTATATTTTTCAGGGAATGCCCTCTAGCTC